AAGGCGTTCACACGTCCTCGGAAGAAGAATATTTCATTGTAATCATTACGAAATTACGATTGTTGGATTGGTTGTGAAATTCTTTTGTACATTTTTATACTCATTTTATTTAAAATTTCACTATCTTTACTTCCTAGGTAATAACGAAGGCATTGGTTTTCGAAATCGACTACTATCACAGATAAATCGTATGTGGTAGGCAACAAATGTGGCGGATTTCACAGGACTATGATGGTGCTTTAAAACGATATAGCTTATATTCTTCAAATTCACAGAGATTTCACCCTTAAAATCTTTGTAAAGGTGTATCTCGCGTGTTATCGGAATGAGAGTATTTCAATGTAATCGTTGGATTTTTTGTACAAAAAACTATTCCAAGTTGTAAATACTTTCTAGTCTTCACATATTTAAAAGAAATGTGATGGGCATATGTTTTCACTTCGGTATTTTCGATGCACATACATTTGAATCCGAGTAAGCCCATAATCAAAAACGCACGTCGCTTCTGTTCCTTTATAGCGGACATGCTCACGATTATCCTTTGTTTTTCATTTAAGTTATCGCAAAACTACTTCATTTGTGTTTGCTCATGGGCTTGAAGTGCCACGGCAGGTAGCTATAGCTGGCCTCCGTGGCGACGTTAGTTGACGTCCTCTGATCGAAGCCTCAAGTTTGCCTGTTGGCTCTTGTTGGTGGCTTCTAGTTGTATTACCTTTTCCATCCTTGTTATCCCTTATCTAGATGTTATGGTGTTTTCGATGCACATCCATTTGGGCTTGATGAAGCCATTAGGCAGAAACGTACGTCGCTCATGTTATCAATCCTTCCAATTCCGCTCCCGTACCTTTATTGTGGACATGCACACGCTGGTCATTTGCTTTTCTAAAATAAAAAGGAAAATTTTGATGAAAGTTTAAAATACATAATATGCTCCAACTTGAAATTTGAGTCATTTTCGGGGCCGGAAAGCCCCTTATTTATGCTGATCCTTTAACTTATTCTGGGTCGATTGTTCAGTCCTTAAGTGACGCTTTAAAATATATAGCTCTTTATCTCAATTAGATTCACTCAGATTAGAGGAACGAATTTTCTCCCAAAATATTTGCGAGCATCCTCGGAGAAATAGTATTACAGAAAAATGTTTATAGCTTCACTGAAAATTGTTTAACTTGAAGTTTTTCCAATTTTGACAAATTTCACTTGGCTTATAACGAGCTTTAAAAAGTCATTGCTTATTATTTTCCCTCACTTTACTCAAATTGGATTAACGAAATTGAATAGGAATTCAGGGTAAAAGTATTACATTGGAATTTCCATTCATAAAATGGTTTGATGCCCCGATTCTTAGCTTGGACGTTATGATTTATCGACGGTCACTCAAGTACTTTAAAAGAAACTCCATTCAACGAATTTGGTTTATTTTTAAGGGATTTTTCAAATTTGGTTTATAATATAATGATGTTTCGGAAAGATGAAAGTCATTTTCTTCCTGAAGCACTGTTCTCACTGTCTTCCTTCGATTCCGTTGCTTTTACGTTTTCGCCAAATCCTTCTAGGCAAATACGTATCTTCGTTTGGAGATTTTGGTACGGAATATTCCGAATCCTAAAGGGATGCGCGCATGTCTCATAGCACGTTATTAACAATGAAATATCAATGTTTTCAAATAAACCAGGCGCAAAATAATCTTAGGGATCTTGTGCGGGAGGATTTGTATTTTAATTTGGGTACTTGGCAAGTTGGTAACCTCAACGATAACAGAGTTCTGAAGCACTGAAAATCGCTATTTTTAGGGGGTTTCAGACGCTTTTAACTTGAAAGCAGTCAACTTTAGAGAAGGATAAAAAAGCTTGTCTGAGCGAATAAACAAGCCTTTGTGATTTGTTTAAAAAAATGGTTGAACGAATTTGCACCTGGTTACGACCCGTCAAACTCATGACTCATGTTAAGGCCCATTAAACAAATGTGATTATGAAAAAAATGGCGTCAAATGGGTTGCGTCTGCATTTCCCACGCAACACCGTCATAAGTTCATAAAGGATTATGTTCAGCACAGACCCTATCGAAATAAGACAGCGTCAAAGACTATATATCCTGGATAGAGGATAGTTGCTATGCTTTCGTTCCTTGTTCCAGAGACCAAGCCTAAACTATGCCGATGTATTTAAAAAAAACACGTAACAGCTGTCTATGGTCGGACGGACGGTTAGATGCTCTGAGAACAGTTACGAACATGTATAACAGAGGAATCAAGTCCGCCAAACAGGTTCATACAATTCGTCCTTAACATACTTTCCCTGCCCTATCCGTAGTAACATCCATCTGGCAACGTCGCGTTGCCTCTAAACAATGCCTGAATGCACGATGCATCAGACGCTGCATAGCGCCAGTCATGCGAAGCCAGTTATGGATACCGGCAGGGGTATTATGTAAAAAACCTAAAAAACGTAAAAAAACGACAAAATGTCATCTTGCAGACTAGGTAGTTTTTAGTGTGCATATAGTTCATTCCACATTTGCTCGCTATGATTGCTATGAGCGTCATCAAAAGCGTCAACTATGGAGGAATGACACAACGACACGACATGCTCACATGCATTGTTGGTTGCAGAAAGCCAAGTGGTGTTTATCTTTGAGAAGATGAAAGAAAAAAGGTTGGTTGAATAACAAGATCGCATCTGGATGATGATCCGAGCGGTACTTTCCAAGTTATAAAGCGGCCAAGGATTAGCGGACGGACAGAAATTAGTGACATGGTTTTTCGTACTTGTCATATAAGATCCAAAAAGCATTTCATTTTCGGTATGTTTCGGAATTACAATAGCTCCTCGCCAGTGGGCGAGGGAAGTAAAAATCAAGTTTCTCATCTTCCAAAAATGCGAGGATTTCGCTGATGTAGAATGATGCTTTGAGAAGATAACATATATTATATCCCATTATGTCACTTAGATTCATCCAAATTAAACAAGCATATTTCATCTCTTCATCACCGAATAATTGCGAAGGTGTATTGGATGTCCTGAGAGAAACAGTATTCCAGTTTATATTATTCATTAGTCATTATTTAGTCTATATTTGAAGGGCACAGGGGAAAAAGATGAATGCCACAAAAAGTAAGTTTCGAGAAAAGTTTGAAGACTCTTAGATCCGTTGTACAAGGTGGGTCAAAGATCTGACCGAGTACAATAGATTCCTTAATATACGGAATTGAAAAAAAAATTAAATTATAAATAATCTTTTTTTTATATACAGGGCAGACCAAACATTTTTTCAATGGAAAATCCTTTTCGTATTTTGAGATTCTCCTTATGATTTTAAACGTCTACTATGTGTTAGCGTCCAGGCCTGAGTTTAACTTTTTGTGAGATATTGAGGTTAGAAATGAGCCTTTCGCCATATGCGACACCCTGTGAAATCTAAGGGTTGCTTAACCAGCATGCCTATCTTAGGTTTTACGATCTGTTCTAATACGAAAACAACCTTGAAAGGAAATTCCTTACACATGAGAAAATTTTCTAACCTCAATAGCTCAAATACAGAATTATTTCTAAGTATTTTTTTAATTGGGACAAGAAAAAACAATGAACCAAAAAAGCTTTATTCAAAAGAATATAGAACAAACCAAACAAAATTAATGGTAACTGCAGATTGGTGTATGGTAAATTGTTGTAGTAGCTACTAGTTCCGGTGACAATCAGTGGACGTTTATCTTTTTTTCATACAACGGCTTTGACATTATCTTTTTTCCCAGCACGGCAAACTTCAATTGGATATAACTACGGACTGTTATTGTTTTTGCGTGTTTCCGATACCTCATGGGATTGTATTGCGTTAAGACTACATGTTGCCAGTTCTAACTACAAAACATAAAATTTGTGACTTTAATCATTTCCCCTGTACCCTTTATTTGTTCACGTCTTTGCTACTAAGTAAACTCAGTACCGCTTCAGTTGATTTCGAGAATTCCCGGAGAGCTATACTGTAGATATGTAATATTTTCGAAAAATCGTGCACAAATCTAAATGTACTTTCACCTCGTTGGATTCTTGGGTATAAAAAGTGCCTTTCTAATAGCCAACGTTTCAGCTTTTATTTTACACTCTCTTCAAGACTAAAAAAGATATGAAAAAATACATTTATATGATTCAAAACCGTAAATGAAACATTGAAGTGAAAAAATGCAGTTGAAAAGATTGACTAAGGAAATACACGTAAGATATAAAAAGCATAGAATAAACAAAAATAATTACAATAAACGCATGTACATATTAAAAAGTAATTATATGATTATTAAGATTTCAACAATTTGAAAATTTTATTCAAAATGGAATATAATGGAACATATTAAAAAACATTTAAAAAATAACAACTAATATGTAAAACTATAAAAACCAGAGCATCATTTGCCTATTGTGTGAAACAAAAAAGCCACGTCCCAAGGGAAAACAAACACCTCTTGGATCAACTATGAAAAACAAAAATAATGAATAGATCGTGAAAGACAAAACAGATGCCAGTTCGAGTATAATGCTGGATTAAACCTTCTGAAGCAAGGTGGAAGAAGTTCACATTGTCTGCAGATGAACGTATACGAGGAGCAGCCGTAAACTCTGGGAAAATATTCCTGCTTAAGTCTGATGAATTTCTTAACGAAGGGGTTATAAAACTGACTAAGGTCGTGGGTGCCTGTTTTTTGTTCACAGTATTGGTATGTTTTTACTGTACATACGCACTGTACATAACATACACAGTGATAAGAACTTAGCTCTTTTGTGATACTTCAAATTACACCTAAATTCTTTTTCTACTTTCCGAGTATCCGAGCTTTGTTAAAGGTTTAATATCTCGTGTCTTAGAAATTGGATTTATTTCGCTCTTAACTGTTTTCTTAATGCGCACTGTATCTGTCTAATTCTTCAAATTCGTATATTTGATTCTAAATATGTTTCTAATTATCTTAAGAAGGATCAAATAATACTCTGATATGTTTTATTTTTCAGGATTCAAGAAAAATGGGAGACTATGAGATAACTTCAATATTCGCAGTACTGCTGACTTTTTTTCTCAAAAACGTTTTAACTGGTAAGAAATTGAAGCTTCTTCCTGAATATACTTGATGTTTAGTTGAATTTTTTTACCTCCATCTTACTGAATAGCCTATAAAAAATGATATACAGGATGAGTCAGTGCAAATGAAACAAAGTCAATTTCTTATAAATGGCATTTTGAAAATAATTTGCTTGGACCCGTCGATTTTTATTTCGATGGAGAAATCTACAAAGCTTTTTCATTTATTACTAAGCTTGTCACTTTCACTTCGTTGGTCGAGCGATATCCAATCCTTAAATCTTAAACGGGACCGGGGACATGCAATGCCTCAACGCGGCTGTTATGATGATCCCAAATAAATTTTATTAATACGATTTTTGAACTGCCTAGGTTAATAGAACTGGGAAAAGCTTCCTCTTGTAGGTTGTTCCACAATCTCGACACCCTCGGGACAAGGGAGCGGTCGTATCGGCCGGTTCTGGATGTACGAAGTTCGACACGGTTAGGATGGGACGCCAAAGTCAGGCGGGTCTGTCTGGCAGGCACATCGGCGACGGCATCATGGAAGAGAACTCTGAGGAGCAAAGCCCGTTGGTGTAACGGTAGAAAAGAGCCAGATCGCCGACAGCCCGCCGGTGCGAAAGAGTCCCGAGACTGTTTGTTAGAAAAGAGTCATCGATCAGTCGGACCGCCCTCCCATCGAGCATGGATAATGTAGTTGGGGCGGCAGCACCCCAAACGTGTGAGCAATACTCGAGGCTATGCCTTATCTGGGCCTTGTATAGAGTGAGAAGGTCATGCGGAGAAAAGTACTTCTTAGCCCTAAACAAGTAGCCTAGCTTTTTCCCAGCAGCTGCAGCTATTAACGAGATTTGTTCGAGCCAGATCAGGTCCTCGGTGATCTGGACTCCGACCAGCCAAAATGAATGGCTCTTTGGCAGAACTCGGCCATCCATCGAAACCGGGTGAGCGCAGGGACGATTTTTGTTCGTCAAAGTACAGTACTGCGTTTCGGAAGCATTGAACTGTACAAGATTGTTACGTCCCCAAGCAGTGATAGCCTCCAGGTCTCTTGTCAGAGAGGAAGTCACCGCTAGTCTTCTTTTTTCCAACTCAGCGGCAGAGATCGGCTTGTCACTCTGCATTCCTGCATGTAGAGTGCTGTCATCAGCGAAGCTGTGGATTGAGTTGATCGTGCAGGAAAGGAGGTCGTTGATATGTAAGAGAAACAGTGTAGGAACCAAGACCGATCCCTGGGGAACACCCGCGTTGACGTTGTGGGATGAAGAGGAGAACCCGTCAGTTACGACAGATATCTTGCGGCCAGAGATAAAGTCAGCCACCCATCTGCAAAGCTTTTCTGGGAGGCCATAGGATGGAAGTTTGCTTAAGAGGGCAGCGTGCCACAGCTGATCGAACGCTTTCGTGATGTCAAGAGCAACGACATGAGCCTCACTATAAGACTGGATGAGTTTACTCCACAATTGAGTGACGTCGCTAATCAAGCCGTGACGTTCGAGGTAGTCCAGAAGCTCGCGAGTTATGCACCTCTCCATCACCTTACTTAAAACAGAAAGCAGAGCTATAGGCCTGTAGTTGTTAGGGTCGGTCTTAGATCGCTTTTTTGGGATGTGTTGGACATGAGCAAATTTCCAGTTTTCTGGGAAGGTGCCGGATTCATAAGAGACGCGATAGAACTGGAGCAAGCTCCGGTGCACACCTCTTCAGTACAATGACAGGAATCAAGTCCGGACTAGAAGCTTTGTTGATGTCGAGCGACAAGAGCACTCGTCTTACGGTCTTATGCCTGAATGGTACCTCCCGCATAGTGTAGGGAACCCTTTGAATTGACGGCACTTGAGCGTTGGGGGGGACGTCCATGGTGGAGTTGGCAGCAAAGATCTTGGCTAGCACTTCCGCCTTTGAGTTGAATACAATAGTTCCATCCTGACACGTAAGTGGTGGAAGGCTACTGTGTGAGAAGTTCTTTTCAATCTGCTTGGCCAGCGTCCAGAAAGACCGACTGCTATTGCGCTGCGACATTACCCCTGTGCCTAACTTTTATATCGTGCTGGTTTTTGGCAATGCGAACCGCTGCTTTATATTTGTTTCTGGAATCAACGTCGGCTTGTCTGATCTCTACAGTGGGGTTTTCTAAGAAGGTTCTGTGTGCCTTGATCTTCTGCTGGCGAGCAGCGTCACACGATTTGTTAAACCAGCCGTTGGACCTTGGTCTAGGCACTTTCACTGTGTGAGGGATGTATTCCTCCATTCCGACGTGGATAATTCCGGTTATCGAAGAACAGACAGCCGACGCATCCGTGTCAGTGAAACAGACATCTTTCCAAGGAAAGCTAGAGAAGAAATCTCTGAGCCCTTCCCAGTCGGCATGTCCGTAATGCCAAGTTTTGCGAGCTGTACGAGTTTCTGCTGCCAGAGCGGGTTCTGACCGAAACCTAACCTCCACAACACCGTGGTCTGAGTTACCCAGGGGGGACAGGACAGCAGTGCTGTAAGGGACAGGATGCGTGGTCAGAAAGAGATCCAGCAGCCTACTGGCGTGTGACTCGTCACCAGCTGAGTCAGCCCTTGGGTAAGAGCGAACGTTTCGACTGCACGACCTGCTGCGTCTGTCTTATTTGAGCCCAACCAAAGCTCATTATGGGCATTGAAATCACCGAGAAGAACTACCTCTGAAGCGGGATGTTCAGGAAGTCGATCTGGACGGAGAGGTATTCGAGTAGGTCATCCCAGTTATGGTCCGAGGGAGAGCGATAAAGGCAGCAAATAAATTTGGGTGATGTTTTGGAGTTGAGGCGAAGCCACAGAATATCCTTCTGGTCTGATTCCACAGAAACATCTCTGCGAGCAGGAAAGACTGCTGCGGACAAAAGTCACAACTCCCCCGTTCTTTCGCAGATTGGAGTGCACCTCGTAGTTTGGGAAGTTAGATGGTTAATCGGTGAAGACTCTGAGATTTTTGTCTCCGCCAAGAAAAGCACGGCGGGACGATTGGATTGCAGGTAGTGATGAACAGCATCAATGTTGCTGTTAATCCCCCAGATGTTCGAAAAACAAATTTTATCTTCGATGTTGTTCCCTCGAGCCCACCCTCCACCCGGACATTCCGAGAGTGGAGGGAGTTTGCGACCGGAGTTTTTAGTGCTCGAGGGATCCATCATCATTAATTTCTTTGTTTTGGAGGATAACCGACTGCATAGCTTAGGTGTGGTAACATGCGGACATTTATAAGACCCTGGGAAAAGCTAGCGGGTGGTACTGCCTCGGTCGAATGGTCCTTGTCTACCACCTTCTTTTTACGTGTTAGTGATGTTAAATAAATAAAATGTTGGCGTTTTGTACAGTATATCTGAATTTTTTGCCAAACTACCCGCAAATTTAAGAGGCAAAATGGATTCTCTTGCCGCTTCTACAATGAGTAGGCAAAACAAAAAATTGAAATTGTCTTAAATGTGGGACCAGTCTTGTTTTTACTTAAAATGTCAAAATGTATTTAAAATTTTCTCAGAATTTTGAATAGGAAACGAAGCTTTCTAAATGCTAACAATAGCTTACTTCCGAAAGAAATATGCTCAGTAGTACGTTTTTTTGTATTTTTTTTTATTTCTAACGATAACAAGAACAATAACGGAAATTAGCATAGTAAAAACTAAGAAACAAAAGTAACTAAATAACAAATAACTTAGCAGATAAATTATTAATTAAAAATTAGGAAAAATCATTCAATTAAGTGTTCTATGCGTTGGCTGCCGAATTGTTGACATAACCTGACTCTCTTGATGTTTTCTATAAGCAATTTTCGTAAATGTTCTTGAGATGTGTTTATGACTGTTCTAATTCTGTTTTCCAGTACTTCTAGAGGCGCTGGAGGAGTGGCAAAAACTTTTTCTTTTTTTAATAGCCCCAAATTGAAAAATCCAGAGGGGTTAAATCTGACGACCTTGCAGCCCTGCTACGCTTAACGATAACTTTGGTGCTTAAAAGATTTAAAGCCATGTTCCTTAAAAAAATGTCTTGTACTTTCGTGGGATATTTGGCACTGCTCACCTATTTCGCGAGTAGAATCAGTGCGATCATATTTTACGCTTACTATAAAAACCATTATCATTAATAGGATCATTATGTTCATTTTTAAAATATTCTACGAGCCAAGGATAGGCGTGTGATGGAGCTTGACGATTTGGAAACCTCTCCTGATATAATCTTGCGGTGCTCCTCGAATTTTTTTGGTATACACCATAAATAAGGAGCATGTCGATTTGATGATCTCTTAAATAATTCATTGCACTTTGTAGCAGTCAACTACTAGATTGATTTCAAATGAAATAAACAAATAAAATATATTACACAATAAACGATGCTGACGCGTGGAAACGAGACTGATAGTTGACAGTAATTTTAAAGGCTTCCCCGTCCATTTGTTTCCAAAGCATCCACAGATCTCCGTGCAAACCAGTGAAATATTCGTCCCCGTTGATTATTATATTCTGACTTTTTAAAATAGAGAAAAGAAAACAATATAATAATAAAAAATGAAAATCATAGATAAATTCTGTCACGTGACTAGGTAAATACCCATTATCTGTGCTTAGGTAATAACAACTACTAATTTTCTAATTAGTTATAATGCTCTCCAAAATTTTACAGCTTTTTTCTCTAAGGCCCATATCGTCAGTCGTCCCTACAATTGTAGGGCGCCTTTATGGCCTCCTTGATTGTCATAGTTTTCTACTTCTCCGTGTCAGAACTCTATTTTGAGGTTATGTCACAAACATCTATTTGCATCAAATTGTGCTTGCTTTTGAGTTATATCATGTTTTATCAGCCTGAAATTTCTACAATTTAAAAGGAAAACAAATCTTCACAATAGGAGAGCGCTGACGCTGACACGGGACAAGTGTAATCTAGAAATTTTTGAAGGAGAGAAAGGAGTATGACAATCAAGGAGGCCATAAACGCGCCCTACAATTGTAGGGACGACTGACGATACGGCCTTATTAGTAATATTTAGAAAACACCGTTTCCTATTCTAAATTCTGAGAAAATTTGAAATACATTTTGACATTTTAAGCAAAAACTAAAATGGCCGCAAATTTATGATATTTTTTTTGTTTTGCCAACTCAATGCAGAAGCTGCAAGAGAATCGATTTTGCCTCTTATTTCAGCGGGTAGTTTGACAAAAATTTATTATTGTCAAAACGCCGCCATTTTTAAAAACAATGACAACTTGTGATACATCATTGAAAATGGAATTTTAAGCTTTATGAAAATATGTAAAAGTATATACATGGTCTTATTTAAAATTCTTGTTTCATACTTACTTCCGATCAAACCTGAAGCGATATTCAATTGTTTTTTAATGGATAATCTGAGTTTTTACACAAATTTTCACGGTTCTTCTTTAAACAGCAGTTGAATAGTGCCTTGTAAAACGATTTCGTTGACACCCGGTATAGTTGTAGTCACCGTTTTTGGCGGGTCAAAGTAGACTACCAGTATCCCTTTATATATCTCTATCTCCCTCATACATACACATGCAATCTACCCCTGGGTGGGAAAGTTTGTTCGGTAAGCTCAAAAACATACGTTTTTTAGTTGTGTGTCTCCGTCTCGAAAACTTTGTCGTTACGTATGAGTGCCCTTGAGTCATATTTGACAGAGTGACAGCTTACTTGACATCGGCGAGCAACTCGAGTGGTCCTGTTATAGATATTCAATATAAAATTGTACAATGCCCGGAAATACGATCAATGGAGAAGGCCGATAGTTCGTGCTAAATTTCTTAGAGTATTCCAGGACGAGAATGAAAACAGCGATTCCCTGTTATCCACTTCATGCGTAATGGAGAGAGTAGTAGTATGCGGTGAAGATTAGTCTGCGCAGTGTTCCGCCCATGGTACGGGAGACTCGATCTATTTACTTTTTCATATGGCGTTGATGTCGTAACCGCTAAGAACGGTGACTAAAATTATAGTATGTTATATCAATATTCTTTTGGTAGATCCTATCCGAAAATGTAATCAGATGTGGACAATTTCACTTAGTGTAGCTAATGATGTGATTCCACTCAAAAAAATAATCAAAATGTGCTCGTCCAATGATGGCGTATTTGTCAGCTTAGAATTATAATGTATTACTATTATGTCCACCTTACTGATTTTTTTGCTTCTACCAAAGGTTCCGAACACGTGATCTCAAACCCGGAACCAGTCACTCTACCAGCAAAGTTCTCCACACTCCTAAGCTGCGAGATGAGCTCAGAGCCGGATAGATTTATGTGGAAATTCTACCCCACGGATGACCCTTACAACCCTAACGCTTACATCGATCTCAGTAACATTTCGTTCAGGGTGGTCCCTGAAAAACAATACACCAAGCAGAAGAGGAAGTCGGAACTGACGTTACATGTGAGTGGAGGTTTTTCTCAATGTCAAGAGGGCTCTTAACACTTTAATACTCCTTTAGATCAGGGATTAGGATTGGGATACAATGGAGGTATAATGCTTTTCTGGGAGTTCGAACAAAAATACGTATAGACTCGTAGAGAAGATATATTTCCTAAATATTGGATAAAATGGTTTAGGCAAACTTATAACATTGTCAACTCAAAAAAAACATACAAGATTATGTCGTTAAATACATTTTTTTCGACTTCATGAATAGCATCATTCCCAATTTTTTAGCGATATCAAGCGGTTTTTCGCAATTTACTCCGAATTCGCATGGACAACGAGTTCATACTTCGGATTGATTCAGCTCATCGAAATACATGATCTAGTTCGAAATTCTTAGCTATTTCTGGCGATTTTTGTCAATATGTGGCAATTCACTCAATCAGCTGTAGATGCATGTTGAGCGTAATGAAATACATAAGACACTTGATCTAGGTCCTTACATTATTTTCATTTACAAGTAAAAAAGTTTGCTATTCTAGCCATTTTTAACGGTTTTTTACATTATGCTCACAATTTTGATGACGTATGGGTCAAACGGACCTCAGATACGGATTCAGTGCATCGAAATACATATGTTTCGAAGTGCAAATACATGTATGTTCAGTGAAAATAAAATGAAAGAAATTACAGTAATTGCAGTTGAAAATCTATACTGCCTCTAGTGTCGTAGTTATGATAATGACTATTTAATTTTGTAAAATTTTCTAAATGTTGTGGTAATAAATGATTTTTTAATTTGAATGTGATACTTAGATTATGGGAAACTATATAGAAGAAATTAATAATAGTAGCATTTGATGGTAATTATTTTTGCAGTATTTTAACCGGTGATTATAATTATGCTGGCATTAATATTTGGGAAAATTGATATACATGTTGTTTTATTAGTAGTTAATTTAAGTTTATTAACATTTAACCAATTCATATTTTTTCATATCACTATTTAACAGTTCTAAAGCAGTTTCCAAATGTTTATGTGCTATATTAAAAATAATAAAAATATTTGAATTTATCAGTATTCTAAAATGTCAGAGATATCATTTTTGTGTTATCATATAAAAGATCATGTGGAGAAAGAAAAATAGTAGGATTCGAATCCACTTTCCTACTTTTTGCGGATTTTGCCCATTGTTTTCCTTTGTGTTATACCCATACCTTTCTCCGCATGATCCTTTCTTTTTTGTAGATCCTTTGGGCTTGAAATACCACGGCAAGTGGCCATAACCGGCCGCGTAGTTGTGGTTAGATGTCGCCTGGACAACTCGAGGTCAGAAGGCTGGCCATTTAACTACTCGTACAAAAGTGTAGGTTGGCTCTTGTTGGTGACTTCGTCGGGTGTTGTTTTGTTCCTCTCCATCTTCGTTTCCTCATTTACACAGTATCCGGATGTATGGGCATGTGTGTCTACTTTTGTAGTTGCATATGTGCATTCATTTCGAGCCCGATAAAGCCAACAAGCAGAAATACGTATTACTTGGGTTATCTATCCTATTTTCTGCTAGAACCTACTTCCCTACTTTTTTGCCGATTATTTTTCTTTTTGTTTTACACATAATGAATAGTAACAGCCCTAATTTACTCCCCTGTGGCAGCCCTACTGATATGTTTTTTGACTTCTATTTACTAAATTTAAAACCATACTGAGGTAATTTCATTAACAATTTTCCCTTTCTATAGAGTCAGCTGCCCTTTTGAAGTTTAAAAATACTGTTACAATACATTCTTTTTCATCTATACATACTTCTTGTCCAGTCTTCCACCAACATTTGGATTGCTGTTTCTTTAGAATATTTTTTTTCTGAATTCAGCTTGCTATTTTGTCAAACTTTTGTTTTCTTCAATGATTTGTTTGTATATTATCCCTTCGAACAACTTCTTGACAGCTTGAAAGACATTAATTAGCCGCAAATTTGTATATAACGCAGAATGTTGACCTTTTGGCACATGAGTAATAGTGGAACACTTTAAATTTGATGGGAATTCGCCATGTACTAAACAATGATTCACCAATAATAATAATTTCTCTTCAATTATACTGAAACAATCATTTAGAATCTTCTGAGATAGCTTTTCCCAGATTGTTGATGTTTATTGTCCTAAATTGATTGTATGAACATAAGTTGGGATAACCGTCTATAAAATAAGTGTTCAGTCTTTCTGTTATAATAACTTTTTCCTGTTACTACCCCATCTTCAATTATTTTTATTGCAAAATTGTAATAGCATCACTGGCAAATCTGTATTTCAAAAGGAGTATTTGAATTTATTAAATTGAAATATGAATGGTATTAAACATTGTTCGAATTTAAACATGTTTAAGGTGAAATTAAAAAATCACTTTATGAATACTCAAAATGCATAGTGATGTAATTTTAATTATAATAGACGAGAAGAATGAAAAATTATAGAAAATTGATTCAAAAATGTGTAAACGAATAATTATACAAAATTGATAATGTAGCATTAATGCTAAATAAATCTTCAACAAACATACAAGGCAAATATTTGTATACAGTTGTGTGCCGGTGTTCTTGGTGTTTTGGTTGCGAAGTTCCAGTCGGATCAAAGCGTTTTTTAAACTTTAATATGAGTTTGCAAAAAACAAATGGACACTTATATTTTCCTTTGAGAATGTAATTAATATCAACATTGACTTTACCTATTCAAAAAAGTAGAAAACATACATAATATACTAAGTGACATATAAATCCGAACACCCAGTTTAAATGGTTTTATTTTAATAAAATTTTGTATAAGTACTTAATGAAGCATAATAAGTAAATGATAAAAATTTCAAAATGATTGCACTGCTTTAAAGCACTTTGACCTTTAATAATGTGTGGATGCACCCTGATGTGCTACGCATTCTCCAACGCGCCTAGGCATGCTTCTGATCAGGTGGTCAATGTCCTCCTGTGGTATCTCATTCCAGGCAACCACCAACTTCTCTCGAAGTGCTTCTAGAGTCTGAGGAGGACGTTGCAAATTGAGCAATCTCCTACCCATCATATCCCACACGTGCTCAATTGAGGATAAGTCGGGAGATCTTGGTGGCCATGGTAACAATGTGACATCATTATGTTGAAAGAAGTCTATTGTGACTCTTGCAACATGTGGTCGGGCATTATCTTGTTGGAAAGTTGGATCTGCCAGGGTGTCAAGATAGTGTAAAAGATGGGGTTCAAGAACTTCGTGGATATAACGCTGCGCGTTCATGTTACCTCTGATGAAGATTAAAGGTGACCTGGAACCATAAGCTATAGCACCCCAAAGCATAACTCCAATGGTGTGATGAACATGTCTTTCAACAAAAAACTGTGGATTCCTCCTTTCACCACGTCGCCTTCTAACCCTGGCACGACCATCGTGCATGCCTAAACAAAATCGAGACTCGTCACTAAAGACAATACTGTTCCATTCCTGATCCCAGAGTGACCGTTGTCTGCACCACTCAAGGCGATTACGTCGGTGTTCTCGAGTTAAAGGGAGGACCCAGTGTGGCCGGTATGAAAACAAGCCAAAACTTCTTATTCGTCGGTAAACACTTCGCATGCCAATAGGTCTTCCGTGTTCTGCAAACCATTCATTTGCAATGGACCTGGTAGTGGAGAAACGGTCCCTTAAGGCCAATAATCTTAGGCGGCGATCTTCACGGTCTGTTGTTCTACGGCGGCGTCCAGTGCCCCTTGCTCTTTGCGTACGGCCTTCTCGAAGCCATACCTGACAACACTCAACCACAGTGTCTACACTTCTTTGCACTCTAACTGCAATTGCCCGAAAAGAAAGTCCAGCTTCCCGAAGTCCCACTATACGGCCCCTATCAAACTCACTATGTTGACGAAATCGTACATATCTCCGTACTCTAGGCATCGTAACCGATCGTAAAGGATGGGAAGAACCAAAATCCGCCAACGTTGATTCTTTACTGCGGCTGAAATATTCATTTTTAGAGCGTTAGTGAATTAAAAAAAAGCAGTATAAAAACCGGAATGTCCAACTGATAAGGCTGAAAATTTTTTCACTTGTTATTTACAGTAAGATAAATATATTCACCAACTTTTATTAAAATAAAACCATTTAAACTGGGTGTTCGGATTTATATGTCACTTAGTATAGTACCTGTATCGATTTTGGTGTTTAGAGATAATATAGTTATTTGAGTTTGTATTCTGATATTTCGTGCCTAAATATGATTTTTAGAATCTACAAAAAATGATTGATACAATGAAAGATACAAAAAAAATATTTTGCATTTCACCTTGTGAGATATCTTATACAACAGAAATGTGTATATTGCAGAATGTTCTAAATGTCGATATTTTCCCTTTTGGAAACAACTATGTATGGAATAAAACGGAAGAGAGTAGCAAACACACCGTACACCACTGTCTTTGAATACGACGAGATCCTCGCACACCGACTTTGCCGGTAGGAAGGCAGTGGCGTACTATGTGTTATGCTATCGCCTAGGTCAGCTGTTCCTTGTCTACCACCTTCTTTTTGCGTGTTAGTGATACTAAATAGACCTAAAGTGGTGGAGTACCGCCACCCGGCAATCGATACTGATATTCCTTAACGCGTGTACAATCACTGTTTTACCTTGTTAATATTTTCTCTTTCAGTTAGATGCATCTGCATCAGGTGATTACCAGTGTCTCGCATTTTATGGTACAAAGGCCCTAGCTTCAGTACCGTCACGTGTTACCATGGCTAGACTTGAACCTTTTCCCAAACAGAACTCTTTGGAAGAAACTGTTTCTGTTGGAAACACAGTCACTTGGAGGTAATTGATTCAATTCCTAACACCCATAACTAACCAGCTTTCTCATCTTTTTTGCTTGCAATGCTACATTTGCAAACGGTATTGGAGTGGGTTTTTCTTAAAGTCTCCTGAATCTTTACTTTTTAATCGTTAACCTTCCGAACCCTACAGGGTAATGAGAGTACATTTTCTAAAAAGGGGTACGAGTCTTTGTTGATGTTCGTTTCTTTATTCTTATGGCTTACGCGATTCAACTGATAGGTAATGAGTCTATGAAAAATACAGCATTCACAGTGTAATTAAACAAGATGACTTCACTATTGTAATTTGTACCAATAACGTACATTCAGCGGCTTTATGTTGGCTTTTAAGAGTTGAGCAACACTTTTGTACTGCAATGGGAATGAGACATATGTTTGAATTGAAGGGCTTGGGGCAGTAAGGGACCTAAGCCTCATTGGGTTTATTTTGAGAAAAAATGCATTGTAAGTTTTGTGTAAATCCTGAAATCAGGTTTATTGCAACAATCGGCTAGAACTGATGCAATACATTTCCAACTCAGGTAACTAGGATTTGGTGGCGACTAATTCGAAAAATTGTGACACATTTCCGTAGAAAAAATTTATTTTTGAAAATTTTGTGGCTTGGTGCCTTATTACAAAAAAATAATGCATTCTGATGATAGCTTGAATCACTCATTTAGTCCAAATTCACTTCTTCATCATCGCCATCTATATCTTCAGCCTCTTCTTCTCCTTCCTTCGGCTGTTCACTGCCTGGCTCTGCTTCAATTGTATTTCCTACAATATCAACAAAAAACTGCTGACTAATCGGCGGGATATATTTTAGAAGCTTTTTCAGATCTTTGATCTTCTTGTCATTCAGTGCTAGAGGTCCATTGTATTTTCTTCTCAAATCTGTCAGGGTTCGTTGACTTCCCAGCCGAGATCCTCTTTTACCCACATTTACCTCAAGAAATTCTCCGTTAAGGATATGTTTTATGAACATAGAATTGGGATGTTCACTGTCAAACTTGAAACAGCGCACTTCATTAAATTTGACGGCCTCATTATCTACGGTAGATTGTTTTTTCGTAATAGAGATGGAATCAAATGCATAAAAGTCATGTTGTTCCAATAAGACTGTGTCAAATGGGCTTTTTCTGTTGGATTTCTTAACGATATCCACCCAGTCTTCTGGACAGTATCACATCAAAATTGTAGACTAAACCAATCTGTCAAAAACGCTCTTCATGGATTATAGCGACATCTACCAGCGGATCATCAAACAAATCAACTTCAGACATAGATACCTACTCAACGAGTTCGCTCGTATGGAAATCTAATTTTTCATCAAAATGTGGCTTAGGTCCCTTACTGCCCCAAGCCCTTCAATTGTAATCTCGTCCCCATCTAGCAGAAACGCAGGTGTTCTTTTTTCTATCATGCACTAAGATGACGTTTTCTTGTTTAGCTCACTCTAGAACTGCTCCGTTTCCCGTAGTTTACCTAAAAGTTGCTAACTGCCAGAAAGCTGCCTTTGGCCTTCTAATTCCTTCTGTGTTGAGCTGTAAGATTATTATATTTCTAATATCCCGTGGCTGTTGGTCTCGAGATGGGCTGTGATTTTGTGTTTATGCTGTATCTGTGAGCTGAGATATCCTATAAGGTCCAGCAGCCACTTGTGTAGACTATTTAGCTGCGACAAAATCACGTTACCCATAGTGCACTACAGGGGATTATTTTACAATTGCATAAACCACTAATTCAGAGAATTTTGTATGACATAACATTTAGTCTTAGTTGAGACAAAAAGTTCGTAATTTTCAGTGAGCCATTCTTAAAAATCTTTTTTTGACATCTACCCGACCCAAAGCATTCAGCAAGAGTGATGCTTTGAGCATATAAAATGACTACAATTTTTTTAACGAAATTCAAAATGATTTTTCAGGCGATGTTTATCTAATCCCTATCTATTATTAGATGTGCAGTACCCAAATCCAACCCTGAAGCATACATCCAGTACTTCAAAGACGGGCAATTTCTCAATCACACGGATGTAAAGATGAACAGTTTGATACTCCCGAACGTCAAAGAAGAGGACACTGGCGTGTATACTTGTATTGCTGATAACGGCATCACTGATAGTGTTAATTCTTCGGCAAAGTTGAATTTGAGAATAGTCAGAAATGGACCTTCGAGGGCGCCATATTTCCTTATAGAGCCGAAAGATGTTTATACGATATTGAAAGGTAGGTAGTATAAACTATAAAGATTGGTAATTGGGAATTAGTGATGGGCGTTTAAGTTTACGTTTCGATTTAGAGAATGCGTATACAATGGTGAAGACAGTGTATAAACCTTATTTCACGAGTATCCATCACGCTTTGAGGTGAACAAAAGCGACATATTTGTGTTAATTTGTAACGTTGACAATAATGATCTTTGGGACCGTATTCAGAGCTGTTGTTCGCATATCAGGATTATATTTTTGAGAGGATGGGAAATGTGACAATAAAATGTACAAGTACAGATATAGAAAAGTTTATTAGAAAATTATTATAGTACCACTGGGATTTATTGATTACATGGTATGTCAATAGAACAGGTTGCGTGGTCCTTTCCAGAAGCTGTAAATTTACCTGTAAAAATAATATAGACACATGTTTCGGTTTATTGTCGGTCATCTGTGTAACGTAATTCATCAAAAGCACATAACTAATCACGTCAAAGCTAATACATTCACCCAAAATTACGAAAACGACCCACCACCATGCCATATTATTGTGATACATCAAATGCATCATACCACTCAAACAGCAAAATAAAAATAAAATATACTTCCTGGAATTTCCAATTTCCTCGATATGTGATGATGGCTTAGCATCAATTTGCTGACTTGGTATATCCTTATGAATATCTTACTCTCTGAAAAAATTATAAACTGTTTGCGTTTCCTTTGGATTTTTGCAGAGTTCTCAACAATTGGCGTATGCCGGTATTCACGAACACTGCATTGTCCCAGCTGTGTACATTTCATGACTCCTGCAACTAGATGTATATTTTTATATTTTATTACTTATTAGAATTACCTAATTGAGGGAATCGAACCTCTATCAACTCGGTCATATACTTCCACACATTCTGAACAAATGTATGGCTGTTTAATTGGCCTTTTAGATCATATGGTGTTTCAAGTTCTGAAAAGTAGATATAATTAATATAGTCAAAAACTGTATAAATCGTCTTTTATTCCTACCTGACTTGAAATGTAGTCATGGTCATTAGCAGCCATTGTGCTTATAGCGTTTCTTTCGTATGCAAAGGAACTTTTTTTAAATAAAAGAGTTAGAAAGTTAGTACAAATGAATCTGTAGCGTACAAAAATACGGGTCTGTCCACTTGGTCGATATGGGGAATTTTGAAATATTACTAGGTAACTAGCTGTCATTGTTCCATGATGGATACTCGTGAAATAGGGTATAGAATAGTGAGGTTAGGTTTTTACTCGCAAACGTGAAAACATCAGTGAACTGCACGGTATTATGTAAAAAACCTATAAAACGTCAAAAAAAAACCTGTTTGTCATCTTTCAGACAGGTAGTTTTTAGGGTGCAAACAGTCATTCCACGTTTGCTCACTAGGATCGTTGTGAGCGTGCATCTATGGAGGAACGCATTGTTAGTTGCATATGTTTTGTGAAGCCGAGTAGTCTGTAGTTTTGATCTCTGAGAAGAAAGTTGGTTGCATAGCAAGGTCGCATGTGGATGATTATGTGCAATGGTCTGCATGTGTATAAAATCAGTGATATTTGCTGTATAAGAAAATCATTACTGAATATGCTGCCAGTAGAGTGTATCTATTAGCTGTGCCCGACGGGTTATTTATATGTTGTCCTTCTGAAGACAAATTATGTTTAAAGTTATAAATTACGATTTTTTACGTTTTTTGTGTTTTCAAAAACTTTGAGGAAAATTACGGAAAATCAGCACCGCGTCCGCGTTGTGTGTAATTACTGTTACCATATATACACCTATGACTTATAATTCGATAGTGTACAGTAAATATAATTATTTCCTATCACTCTCATTTTTTAAATGCAGCAAATTTGCATTTGTAATTTCCAGAATGAATAAGAAAAAGTGGATGCCCAACTAATTTCTAGCTTTGAATCTCAAGTAAGTGTATTTGAGACAAGAATCCAATGGAATTATCATCCAAACATATTATTAGCACACAAATCTTCACTATGCACCTATGCATTGCCGTTTCCTTCTAGCTATAGTATACAACTTATAGCTTAGACCTCCAGTAATGCCATCTATGAAGCAGATTTTACAACACGTACAACTACAAAACGAGTTCATAACGTGTCCATCAGCTAGTGTTAAGCATTTTGTAGAAAAACCTACATAATGTCACAAAAAACCAATACAATGTCAAAAAAAATCGACATAATGTCACTTTTCAAGATACGTAATACCCGTGCGGGCACCTATAAAAACAATACGATTGTGCGCAACGAGTTCAGACTTGGTAAAGGAGCCAGTCAAGGATTTGTTTGTCTGCTTGCGTATTTTGGTAGATAACAAAATGCCGCTTAGAATGGTTCTAAATTCAAAGTACTTCGGAGAGAGATGGAAAAAAACGATTTTTTCCATAATCGTTCGTTTTCTGACTTTATTTGTAGTGGGATTTGAAAATAAACTGCACATTAACATTGCCACATTTCTCCTCTACAAGATGCCATAATAAGAATCTCAATATAACTTTTCGTCTATTCTCCTCCAGCATCCACCTTATTTTTTCTTATGGACCCCCTTGGTTATTTCAAAAGAAAAACAGAATTTCCTAGTTAGGCCTTGAAATTATCACATAGTCATTTGTTTTGGATACCACGTTGTAGGGGGGAAAAAGTGGCATTGTTAATGTGCAACTTATTTTGAACTCTGACTACAAATAAAGTCAGGAAAAAATTAAAAAACCATTTTAGGATAATTCTGTTTTTTCCCTCATTCTTCGAAAGTACTTTGGACTTCAAAATTGTCTAAGCGGCATCTTGTTACTTACCTAGATACGCAACTTTGCCCTCACTTAAGCGACTTCCTATCTTTCACCGTTTTCGAGATCCCAATGGTGAGGGTCCGACACAAACAGTTGAATTTGAACTCACTTGAAGAAGTTGCTATTTTTTATTTTTATTTTTTTTCTATAGTATTAACTCATTTTATCAGGTTCTCTCGTTTACTCATTATTAAATTCTCAAATCTCTTTAGTTACTTTTGGATCCGAATCTTAACAAATTATTTTTCAAATTGATTTTATTTTTGCCGCAATTTTGTATTGATATCGTCAAATAGTTCATTCGAGATATTACTGTTTTTGGTTACCGTGCAATCCTTGCATGTATGTGTACTCTGTATTAAAATTCTCATTTTGTTTGATTTTCAGGGAAAACTGTCTTTCTAGAATGTACCGCAATAGGCAACCCAGTCCCAAAGGTGATATGGACAAAACAAAAAGGACAATTGCCCAACAATCGTATCGAAACACTGAAGGGCGGCCTGAGGATTCGTGATGTTTCATCACAAGATGAAGGCGTTTATATTTGCAACCATACGAATGCCTATGGTACGATATCGCATCGTATCACCTTGGTGTACAACGAGGAACCCAGGGTGGATTGTCACATGAGAGAAACCAGCGTCAAAGTTGGAGAAAATTTGGATATTGATTGTAGTGTAAGAGGTATGAAAACGAAGATGCCAATAATACTATAAAGTGCTCACCTAAAAGGTCTACTCCCCTTTTTGAACGGATCAAGTTATCAGCTGCAAATTTCAAGATAAATGTTGAAACATTTTTTTTTGGTGGAATGATGGGTCGCATTATACCTCATTTTGATCCTTATAACTCAACAACTAATTAAAATTCTGTATAATGTTTTATGCCAATATGTTTCTACTGTAATGATCAATTCGAATGCATAATAAAATATAGACCATTTTTTATCGCACATTCAGGTGTAACGAGAACGGTACTATTAGCGCCATCTGTTGGAAACTCAGAAAACTGTCGAAACAAAGAGCTACTTCGAAGCGGCATATACGAGTATAATAAGCGGACGGTTAAGACCGGAGCGGCAGAGTTGAATTGAGTAGCGCGACATTATAATTTCGTAAATAAGTAGTCAGACATAAATAGTGGTGTACATAAATAAGTGTTGTACTCCAGACTCTAGTTAAAGTTAGTTGTCTTGGGTTGTAAATAAATTGGTGCATTTCTTTTTGTGGATTGAGTGGTTTAATTCACAGCCAAAAGAACCCAGAAAAACGCTACACAGGGTATACCCTTCCAATAGGAGATTCATATAACGTACGTTTGATGATGTTGTTCAGTTACATGTGATTCAATTTACAAAAACGCTTATCGCCATACCGCTATTTTGAAAAATAGTAAATTCATGCAGCAGGGTTATAAAGTTGTATGAACGAGCTTGTACAGTACTGTACCATGACGAACAAAAATCTTCCTAGCTCTCATCCGGTTTAGATTGGATGACCGTTTATTTCCGCTGGTCGGACTTGATCTGGTACGAACACATCTCGTTAATAGCGGCAGCTGCTGGAAAAAGCTAGGCTATTTGCTTAGAACTAACAAGTACTTTTCTCCACATGACCTCCTACACTATACAAGGCCAAGATAAGAGCTAGCCTTGAGTATTGCTCATATGTTTGGGGTGCTGCCGCCCCGACTACATTATCCATGCTGGATACTGTTCAGAGGAGGGCTGTCCGATCGATCGATGATTCTTCTCTAACAGATAGTCTCGGGACCCTTTCGCACCGGTGGGCCGTCGGCGATCTGGCTCTTTTCTATCGCTACACCAATAGGCAATGCTCCACAGAGCTCTCCTCTGTGATGCCGCCATGCGATGTGCCTGCCAGACAGACCCGCCTAACTTCCGCTCCTATCTTAACCTAGGGTGTCTTTTACAAGTTCTACTAACCCTAGTCAGTTCAAAAATCGGATTAACAAAGTTTCTTTGGGATCCTCATATCAGCGGCGGTGCCCTGGCATTTAGGCTTCTGCCTGCGCGGCTGCTTCGGAATGAAAAAATCAGAAGCCCCCATTCCATTTAAAAATATTCACACGCAGACTATACTGGGACTCAAGACTTTGGATCCTCAGGATGTTAAGGAGCTGGACTCGGGGCTATACTCAACTTGTTAGAAGGGCGCAGCTCGAGGCTTTGGGAATGTAGGAGTGCATAAAGGCCCGTTTATGCAGCCTATGCGCTGGCTCCTTTTGGTGGCCGGTGGTCTAATTTAATTATTTATTCATTCATGTACTCAGTTGTATTCTTTTTAATTTTCAGGAGTTCCAGAGCCATATGTAACATGGATCCTCAACGGGTTCTCTGTGAACAATGACAGTTCGATAGAGGCCATAGGTAATAAGATTTATTTTAGACCTGTTGAACGAAGACATGCAGGCGTTCTTCAACTCTTTGCAAGGAATATTGTCAAAACAGTTTTTGGTCATATGTCTTTGAATGTATTACCGGAGCAAAATGGTAAATACTTTGTATTTATATGATTAATGATAAACATTTGAAATAAAGCATTGAAAAAATTTAGTATTTTTAGGAGCTGTAAAAATGAACTTCTGAAATTTGCTACGTCCTGACATGTTTTATACGTATTTATATCTCTCTCAACATTGCAGGTACAAATACAAATCCTCACGGTCACCACAGGCATAGAGGAAAATCAAATGTTGCCAGAAAGCACAATAAATCGTTGAAAATTATTCCTCCTAGTAAACCCACAGTTTCAAGGTAAGCCGATTTTACAGTGTAATATCTGCAACTAAAGTTACCGATTCTATATTCTGATATGAATGTTTTTTGAAGTTCCCCGTGCATTGTGGTCAGACTTTTATTGATTATTTTAACAATTATCAGAATGAACGCATTTTTCAGTCAATCAATTTTCATTTCTTTTCATTCCTTTGTTGGTGCTTAATACATTTGCGTGCTTACACAGGTCAAAGTAAACTTTAAAATGCAAAAGTTTATATTCACAAAACAATAACATTTGTTAGAAAGAACAACATTAACAGAAAACTGTAAAAAATAACACTAATAGAAAAACTGTAAAAATATATTATAAATTTAAAATAAAATAATAAATATAATATAAAACAGAGTGAAAGTAAACAAGCACACGATGTTGTAAAAAGATTTCTTCATAAGGTACGCTTTAATTCTATACCTAAATGAGCTAGTGCCAGACATTCTGAGTGCCGCAGGAAGAACATTATAGAAGTGTATTCCATAGTAGTTAGAACCGTTTCTATGTCTTTGTAGACGATGTTTAGGTCTAACTTATGCATGTACTTGTGTTGTAACTATGTACATCATTGTGCGTCTTGTATAGATCTAAATTGTTGTGTACATAACATAAGCAGATAAATATATATAGAGACGGAAGAGTAAGGATCCCTAGGTTGAATGCCTCACTACATGGCCGCATATAACTCCGACCTGCGATGACTCTAATACAGCGCCTTTGTAGTTTAAAGAATGATCCCAGTTTAAAAGTGCATATGACATGCTTCAGTGGAAGTATCCATAATATGTGGTTAGCTACGTATCACCAGAAACGCAGCTTTCCAGATTCCTAATTAAATAAATGGTCTTGGGTAGTTCCCTGAGAATACTGTTTACATGCTCCTACCAAGTCATGACACCCAAAAATTTTACTGTGTCTATGGTATTGACGTTATCTTGACACATACTTATTACCATGGACTGTATCTTTGAAGCATTATGTGTCAGTTTGTTTGCTAAAAACCAATTTTCTAAATTTATTATATATTCAATATTCGCAGAGAAAAGTGGATCAATTGATTTGCTACTACAGAGTATTGTTGCGTCATCGGCAAACAGTATAAGGTTTTTGTTTGAATTACAATTAGGAATTTCATTAATGTATATAATTAAAAAATATAAAATTAATATATATAAAACTCCGCCTTATTTATATAATAAGATTACATTTCGAAGTGATGTTCACAATATCAATGTTCGGTCTCGGAAGCTGATTTCCAACCACGTCAGCGTTTATCTATGTTTAATAGATGTTTTTCTTATTTTATCTACCACTTGTACAATCACGTCCCCACAAACCTTAAGTCTATGTCTGTGTCATCTTTTAAAAGAAGTTACAGAAAATTTCTATTAGATGATTTGTTGTCTTTACTTTATATTGTTCCTTTCCTTTTTGTATTGTAAATGTTTTTTGTTTGTTAAATCAGCCTAAAATGATTTGACCTTTTTCGTTAAATTATATTTTTATATAATTTCTTTATATAATGGGTGATTTTTTTGCTAGTATCTTTTTGGCAACACTGTTATTGACAGATGACGCGTGAATCGTGTCTTGTGTCATTGTCAAACTTGTTCAGTTTGGTCTATAATTTAACCATAAATTGACTTACGAACGAACAACGCTTGCAAATTATTGAATTTTACTATCAACATTCATGCTCGGTTAAGAGAGTGCATCGAGCACTGCTTCCAATTTATGGGCAATTTGGTCGGCCTACTGAGGGAGCTATTCGGAAGCTTGTGGCTAAACTTCGAACCCAGTTTACATTATTGGACATTAAACCACCAACACGCAGACGTAGAGTGAGGACTGAAGAAAATATTGCGGCTGTATCCGCCAGTGTTAGTGATGACCGTGAAATGTCGATTCGCCGCCGTTCGCAGCAATTGGGCCTCTGTTACTCCACTACGTGGAAAATTTTGCGTCAGGATTTGGGTGTAAAACCTTATAAGATACAGCTGGTGCAAGAATTGGAGCCACACGACCTCCCACAATGTTTCCCATTTGGTGAATGGGCGCTGGCAAAGTTGGAGGAAGATCCACATTTTTATCGAAAAATTGTGTTCAGCGACGAAGCTCATTTCTGATTGAATGGGTACGTTAGCAAGCAAAATTGCCGCATCTGGAGTGAAGACCAGCCAGAAGCATTGCAAGAGCTACCAATGCATCCCGAAAAAATCACTGTGTGGTGTGGATTATGGGCCGGTGGCATCATCTTGCCGTACTTCTTCAAAGACGACAATGGCCGGAACGTAACTTTTTTTTGCCCAAAATGGAAGAGCTGGACTTGGCTGACATGTGGTTTCAACAAGACGGTGCCACATGCCACACCGCACACGAAACAATGGCCCTATTGAGAGGCAAGTTCGGTGAACAGTTTATCTCACGTTTGGGGCCCGTCATTTGGCCGCCTAGATCGTGTGATTTAACGCCGTTGGACTATTTCTTGTGGAGCCATGTTAAGGCTAATGTCTACAGGGATAAGCCAGCAACGATTGCCGCACTGGAAGCCAATATTGAAGCATTTATTCGTGAGATACCGGCCGATATGTTGGAGAGAGTGAGCCAAAATTGGACCTTGCGCATGGGCCATCTAAAGCGGAGCCGCGGCCCAACATTTACATGAAATAATCTTTAAACATTAAATTATATCGACCGTTCTATCGGCTCAAATAAAGATTTAATTGTTTTTTCAATTTTTTTTGTGTTTTTTTAGAAAATCAACTCCTATACCTCTTAAAAAATCACCCGTTATATACAGGGTGGCCCATAAGTCCTTTGAGCTGGAAAAAAAGGAATAAAACCAAACTAGTTACATTATGAATAATTATTATATTTTGTTATCATCTTTATTGAATGGGAATTATGTTTTATAAATCACATCGTCTAAATGCAATCCATTACGATCACGGCACTCATATAAACGACGTCTAAAATTGTCGATGACTGCGCGGCAAGTCAACACTGTAATGCTTGCCATTTCTCTTCGGATATTTTCTTTCAGGACATCAACTGATCGCGGAGTGGTGTCGTACACTTTACTCTTGAGGTAGCCCCATAAAAAGAAGTCCATTGGGGTCAAATCTGGACTACGTGGTGGCCAGGAAATGTCTCCTCTTCGAGAAATTACTTTGCTGGGACAAAGTTGACAGACGACGGGCATAGAAGTGTTGGAGGTGTGGGCAGTTGCTCCGTCCTGTTGAAGCCAGGTCTGCGTATTATAGCCTGGAAAATTCTGCAACGCTGGTGTCAAAAACTCTTCTATCATTGCTACATACCGCTCCGAAGTAACAGTTAATGCGCGACCTCTGTCGTCCTCAAAAAAATAAGGGCCTACGATGCCATGCGCTGACATAGCAGCCCAAACTGTAACTTTAGGGCTGTGTAAGGGCTTCTGATGCTTACACCTTGGATTTTCGGGGCTCCAATAACGGCAATTTTTTTATTTACATGTCCGTTTAAATGGAAGTGAGCCTCGTCCGAGAACAACACATTATTGAGCGAAGAAAATCGATTCAACATTTCATTCGCAAAGTTTAGTTTCTGAATAGCGTCATTATCTTTTAATTCCTGCACTAACTGAATTTTGTAAGCGTACAGACGTAAATCTTTCCTTAAAATCCGCTGTAAAGATGTTCTGGGTACGTTTAGTGCACTGGAACGCTTACGAGTAGACGTCGAACCAGTCTCTTCGAACTTAGCAACCCAGTTCTTAACCGTTTGAGCTGTTGGACACTTTGTAAAATTGTGTAAATTGTGGTATTCTCGATATTTACGCCGCGCAATGGTTGCCGAATCATTATTTTGATAAAACGCGCGCACACAAAAAGCACGATCCGCTCCAGTGAAACACTCCATGGCGACTGAATTCCCAGACACTGAAGATACTGCCCCCACCTCGCCCGCGCCGCTCACGCTCACCCGTTAAATTTTATTCAAATTTGAAATTTCAAAGGACTTATGGACCACCCTGTATATACATATTTTTTACGCTTGTATCTATCATTTATTAATTATTAATATTAACTATATAATTTGATTAAGAACTTCTCTGTTGTAATTTTGTTTGTTGGGCTAGTACTTTGATAGTTTGCCGCTTTTGTTTTCACGCCCTGTTTACAGAAATGGAGCTGAGTGACCCCTTCGTAGGACACCCCCCACCAAACCATGACTGACGCAGGGTGGTGGCCTCTCTCAACTCTCGGAATGATCTCCGAAGCTTCCTGTGAACTCCTTGCATACACTTTGTCATTTTGTCGGTTGAATTTTTCTTCTATGGTGAAGATTTTCTCATCCGTGAACAAAATCTTTCGGAATCCCCCAGCTGCGTACCTCTCCAAGAGCTTCTTGGATCTTGTCGCCCTGATGTGTCGCAAGGTGGCCGTAAGTCGCTGGCCCGTACGTCTCCGGTAAGCCCCTAGCCCTAGGTCTTGTTTAATGATGCGCGACATCGTCCGGACAGGAATCTTCATTTCCCTGGATAGGATCTTCTGCTTCCGGAGTGGATTCCTTTGAATCCTGGCTTTTACGGCTTTGATGGCTGCTGGAGTCCTTACTTGACGAGGTCTTCCGCTTCTTGGCCTGTCATCAACAGAGGACGTCTCATTGTACCGCTGAATGGTCCTAGACACAAATTTACGCGATATTTGAAGGCCGCGTAAGAGTTCAAAAATCTGACTAGCACTGTGATTACACTTATGTAAAGCTATCACTGCAATACGGTTCTCTGCCTTGCCCCACTCCATCGTTATGCTTCGAGAGATCAATACAAACTGAGGTATATGTAATTACCCGAAAAGCGCTTAATCAACTGACACCACAATGTAAACAATCGGACAAGTATTAACAGGTCTACACTTGTTTGAAAACGAGGGACAGAACTTATGGCATGACTACGTAAAACCTTCTGTATGAGTTACCTAATGCAAATAGCTCGTATGAGTTG